CCCGACCGGTTCCCTAAATACCCGACCGGGTATTTGGACCGGGGGTCGCGAACGCAGGTTGTTAAAAGCCTGTTTTGTGCGTTTTTGCAAGAGAGAGCTGGGTTTTGGTTCCCAAACACCCAAGGGACGAACCAAAGAGAGAGAGGGCGATTTGAGGGCATTCTTGGAGTGGAATTGAAGGATTTTCTTTGCCTTGGAAGCTCGAGGAACCAGCCCGGACTTGAAGACTGATCATCTGAAGATTCTTACTGCAGTCTCTCTTTTCTCTGTGTAGTAACTTCCCTTCACATAGGTTTTGAGGAACCCTAGCTATGTTTGTTTGATTGGATGATTGTATGAGTACTCCTACTTGATAATCTTGAGTTCATATTCAATTTATGCATGTTTTCATGATTCAATTATGCTTTAGTCGAGAATATTGATTCTTCTTTGATCCAATGAGAGCGAATACTTGATTAGGTAAATAGAGCACCATAGATTGATAGTATTGGATCCATTGCTTTAGTCGAGGGTTGATTCAATGCTTTGTATCGATTGAGAACCTCATTTGCTAGAGGGAATCTAGTTCAGAACGCCTTGATCGATTGTTCTAGAGAAGGATACGTCCCTCTAGGCAATTGACTCAAGAGGGCCTTGTTCCTTTAGTCGAGACACAAGGTCTAGTCAAGGATTCTCCGCATTGTGAATGAAAGTTAAACAAGTTAGAAATCATCAATCATTAATCTGGCTAGTGGCTAGGGGGAATCATACCTAAGTGAGTTCCCAACCGGTAATTAGATTAACTTTAACTATAGTTTGCTAGAGTAGTTTTAGTTCTTCCATCTTAATCTGGTTTGCTAGATAATGAACTGAAGCTGAGTAATTGTAACTCTAGAGACACGTGGATTCAATATTTTTACGTGAGCCACTATACTGTAGTCCCTTTCATTGGTTACACTTGGCCATTGTTAGGAGTTGTGTCATAGCGAGTCAAGTTTTTGGCGTCGTTGCCCGGGACTTTCTAGAGTATAGGAAAGGCAGAAGTTTGTTACTTTAGTGTTTTTCTTTTCTTTTCCATCCTTGCTTTTCACTTGGGTGTTTTTGTTTTTGTTGGTGCAGATCTGAATCATGCATCCTCATGGCTTCTCCAACCATTGAGGGTATCCACCACCGTCCGAGTGGTATTACCCCGAGACCCCCTGGAGCAATCAAGGAGGAGAAGACTATGGATTCGGGTTCTAGTACCAACCCCCTTACTACGGAGAACAATCAGACCGCTGGGCATATCAAGAACAACCTCATTACCAAGAAGACTTTCTCCCAAAACCAGAAGGGCCATCGGAGCTGGAGTTTCCCATGGCGGCCTTCACGGGCCATTCTGCAGAGCTATGCTACACTCCACAGCCAGATCCAAAATATGAATTGAGGCTTCTCATGGAGCAGTTTGCTCGAGATAGTGAGAGATCATGGTCCATGATGGATCTTTGTACCTAGGCCTATCGTGAAACAGAGGAGATCCTCCTGAGAATTAAGAAGAGCGTCGATGATCTTGAGCGATCTTATGCACAACCTGCTCCAGATCACCCTTCTGCTACCATACTAGAAGAGGAGGAAGAAGAAGGATACAAGGACATTCTGGAGCACACTGAAGTTGTCACGGAGAGCTCCCATGATGATGATGATCAGGAATGTCCTGTCGTAGCCGACCACACCTTCCCACATCCCAAACTGAGCTTTGAAGAGGCGGGCATGAGTGAGGAGATGCAAGAAGATCTCATGAAAGAAATTGCTTGGCAACTTGCTCTCCAATCCGTGCTAGAAGAAGAAGAGCGAGAAAGGGTGCAGAAAGAAGTTGTGGAGGATGACCAAAATGAAGCGGAAGGAGTTCTTGATCATTTCCCAGGGGTGATACCACATGAAGAGGGAAGGAAGGTTGAAGAAGCACTTGGTGTCCAGGCCGAGGACGAAGTTGAGGTGGAAGAAGCTTGCACCGGCCATGAGTTACATGTGATATCTCCACCAAACTTCGAGTAATTGCTTAGTAAGGACCCATTTGCAGTGTCTCTTTGCCAAACAAGGCCACATCGACATTGGTCTCTCTTGGTGGACGCGATGGTCGTCAATCGATGTTGTCATATCTGGTTTGGGGTAATGAGACGAGAGAAGAGAAGAAGAGGTCTCGAGGGTGGAGACGTTATCTGCATCAAGTGCACGAGCTTCCATCACTTGTCCTTCCACATGTTCGTGACTTGAGACTCCACCTCATCGACGAGAACCTCAACTTCAAAGAGGTTTTGGGGTGGACCAAAACTTAGGAGCCATCGTCCCGCTCACGACGTGAAAGAAGCGCTTGTTGGGAGGCAACCCAACCAGTCTGTTTGCATTTCTTTCCCTATTTCTCTTCGGTTGAGTCAGCTTTGTTCTTTGATTTTGTGTGGTGTTTGTGTTCCGACTACTCTCTCCTCCTGGAATGCACTGCCTGCCCCGTCCACCATCATTCACCCTTGATCTGGTAACTTCGTTCTACCCTCCTTATCTTTCCTCCATTGAGGACAATGTCTTCTTAAGTGTGGGGGGATGTTCGATTATGTATGCATGTGAATGTATGGTGTATGTGTGTGCTTGGAGCTTAGTCCAAGTCCACTGTCCAAATTTTTAAATTTGAGGGCTCCAAGTATGTGTTCCATGCAAGTACATGCTCAGTATGCTTTGAATTGACAGTCTTTATAGTAATATGCAACCTAGGGAGGTAGTGTAGCACTATGGAGGATGTTGATGCATTTAAGAAGTCTCCTTTCTTCTTCATATTGTGTTGGTTGATTGTGTGAATTAGTGATCTTAGGACCCTTGAATTGTGTAGTGTTGTGGACTCTCTACCCGTCATGGACTCCTGTATCATGTTTTGAAATAAAAGGTGCTAGAAAATGTGCTTTAAAATAACGTCTCCCGTGCGAATAGGGCGAAAGTGTGTAAGGGGAGACGCGAATCCGTTCCCAATTTCCACCTACTACCTCCAGCCCCCTTAAATTCCTTTTCCCCGCACGAGGCATGAGACATTCGCTCCCGGCATGGCCAGTAAGAGCCAGGTTCCCGCAAAACCTTTGCTAGGTGGGAGCCCCGTTTTCTGAAAATCGGGTTGGAACCCTTGAAAAAAAAAGAAAAAAAAGAGAACAAAAGAAAAGGAAAAAAAAAAGGGTTCCAACCGTCTTCAAAAAGAAAATAAGAGCACCTTAAAAAATGTGAGTCCATGATCTTTTTTTTTTTTAGAGTCTCTTCGTCCACGATTCATTTGTCCTCTGATCACTATTTGCCATGATGTCGACGCTAGACTAGCGTTCTCGCCGAAGAAGCTATGAGATTACTTGTGCGTCGGTTGACCTCGTAAGCTGGTAAATGATCTAGAAAATCCTCTATCAAAGATCGAGAGTGCGTGTTGCTATAGTTTTCTGGAGAGTTTCATTGGTTTGAGTTACGTTTGCTTGGGGACAAGCAAACGGTTAAGTGTGGGGGGATTTGATGAATCGATATTTGCACATGTTTTCCCCTTTGTTTCTTGATCGTTTGAGCTTGCATTATCGCTTCTTTGGCCTATTTTACGCTAGTTTGTGTTCCTTTGTCACATTTCAGGTCCTGGCAAATAAAGTGAAGCGTAGGCGCAAGTTTTAATTCAATCGGAGATCAATTGGCGACTCGGGGGAAGAAACTCGGGTATGACTTGAAGAAGAATAGATTTCTACCTCAGTTTGTGACCATATAATCATGTAATCTTATCATGAGAAGAAAGATGACGAGACTACGAGCGTCTGGGATCAAACGGCACCTGATTTGGAGTCCGAACGAGGGAGAAACGAAGAATCAATGATAGGGGACCCGAACTGCAAAATACCCGACCATAATACCCTACCGGGTATTTTGGCCATCTGATAGGGGATTTTTGGCAGCATCAGAAGGCCCCCCGGTCGTGAACCAAAAATACCCGACCGGGTATGAAAAATACCCGAACAGGTATTTTCCCTTTTGCCCAAAAGAGTGACCCGGAGCATTTTGTTGATACCCGACCGGGGGTCGCCAACGCAGGCTGTTAAAAGCCTGTTTTGTGCGTTTTTGCATGAGGGATCTGGGTTTTGGTTCCCAAACACCCAAGGGACGAACCAAAGAGAGAAAGGGCGATTTGAGGGCATTATTGGAGTGGAATTGGAGGATTTTCTTTCCCTTGGAAGCTCGAGGAACAAGCCCTGACTTGAAGACTGATCATCTGAAGATTCTTACTGCAATCTCTCTCTTCTCTATGGAGTAACTTCCCTTCACTTAGGTTTTGAGGAACCCTAGCTATGTTTATTTGATTGGATGATTGTATGAGTACTCCTACTTGATAATCTTGAGTTCATATTCAATTTATGCATGTTTTCATGATTCAATTATGCTTTAGTCGAGATTATTGATTCTTCTTTGATCCAATGAGAGCGAATACTTGATTAGGTAAATAGAGCACCATAGATTGATAGTATTGGATCGATTGCTTTAGTCGAGGGTTGATTCAATGCTTTGTATCGATTGAGAACCTCATTTGATAGAGGGAATCTATTTCAGAACGCCTTGATCGGTTGTTCTAGAGAAGGATACGTCCCTCTAGGCAATTGACTCAAGAGGGCCTTGTTCCTTTAGTCGAGACTCAAGGTCTAGTCAAGGATTCTCCACATTGTGAATGAAAGTGAAACAAGTTAGAAATCATCAATCATTAATCTGGCTAGTGGCTAGGGGGAATCATACTTAAGTGAGTTCCCAACCGGTAATTAGATTAACTTTAACTGTAGTTTGCTAGAATAGTTTTAGTTCTTCCATCTTAATCTGGTTTGCTAGATAATGAACTGAAGCTGTGTAATTGTAACTCTAGAGACCCGTGGATTCGATATTTATTACTTGAGCCCTTATACTACGGTCCCTTTCATTAGTTACTCTTGGCCATTGTTAGGAGTTGTGTCATAGCAAGTCAGCGCTCCACTTTTTTGGTCGAATATTTTTCAAATTGGTAAAGACCCACCCCTTGTTTCAGTCAGAATGAGTCCCCGGGACCCCGGGACATTGGCTTCCGCCAACAGTGGACTATTAAGGATCGCATCCCGCGCATATTCTACATTATAGCCTGCAACTGATTCAGCTTCCGCTTCTGGGAGATCAAACGGAGCTCGATTAGTTTCTGCTAGACAAGAAATGAGGAACATAACCAATACAGGGAACAAGGGAATACCAGACCATATCTGCTTTTGCGCCATAACAATCTCACTCGAATTACGGGGACCTACACATATTAGTACAGTATACCGGGGTCCCCGGCCAGAACCACACGTGCAAGTTTCCCTGCATGTGGCTCGTCCGTGCTTTCCAAGGCGCTACCTGTGACTCGGCATGGGAGAAGGGGGCGGAACTGCACACTTTCGTGTTCAGAGCATTGTCTGAGTGAGTAGGCAGCGCCTACCAAGCTTTGCTTTCTTGAAGAGGCTGGGCTGGTTCCTTTTCGGCGCCCACCTTTTCTTTAGGTGTTGGGGCAACGAAAGCCCCCAGAAAGTTTAGGTTGGCTTCCAGCTCCATTGCGGCCGGCATCCTGCTCTCGAGGGAGTGGAGTCCTGGAGCGAACTACTCATTGCTGTCTTGCCCCAACCCCAGGAAGGGCATTTGGTGAGGAGCATTATTTTGAGGGAGGGAAAGCGTGGTTGACAAGCCACTTCGAGGAGGCGACTGGACTGGAGTGCTTTCATCAAATGATGCATGTGGGCTGAGCCATTCCCATCCCAAGTGGTGGCCCGATTCGGCCTGGCCTGGTCGGGAAGAGATTCACATAGAGACTACTGTTATCCGGGAATCTCTTTCTATGTTAGCTAGCGGGGGCGGGCTTTCCTATGGTAGTCCCGCTGCGGCCTCTGACCGTCCGTCCCGTCTCATCTTGATTTGGCTATACTTGTATGTAGCCAGCCATGTTAGCTTCACATGAGAGCCTTTTTCTAAAGGCTAAAATAAAAAGGCACTCATCAGTCAGCCCCTTTCCTATTCAGCTTTGCCGCCTATTAAGAGAATAGGTCCCTCAAGCTTAGCCCGCCCTTATTCATCTATACTAGCTGCCACGCACGACCCCATAGGAACGATTCCAGCCCCCCTCTCCAGATAAGAAGCAAAACGCGCCATCACCTACAGCCCTTTCCTCTGCCGGAGACTTCCATGAAATGAAAACGGGCGGCATCGTCGTATCATCGACATTTGTTGCCCTGGTTTATATCCCGGGGTACTCCTATGGCCGATCTGTCACCCAACCTCCTTAAAAACCGTTAAGGCTTGGCCCCGTGCCGTTTGGAGTTGGAGAATGGGCCTTATGGCACGGCATAGTCAGTTATTCTTGCAGTTCAGATAAGATTCGGACCGCCACTTCTCTGAAAGCATGGTTTTTTCCTCCCTCCTTGGGGCTCGTCCATTCGTTGGGTGATCCCTTGCTCTCGCGTTCGAGTGTTTGCTTGTCGTTTAGGCCGGTGAGTGAGATTTCTGCTCATTGCAGTAACTTCCGGGGTTCTTCGCACCTGGATAGTACCAGGACCCTTGTGCCCCGGCCCTTGATCAGATAAAGCTGCCCGCCCTATGACCCACAACTCAAAATGAGCCTTGCGACGAGACGCGGACATTCCCCATGCTGCGGTTCCCTCCGGTCCATTCCCGGGTTGGGTTAGGGGAACATCCGAGCGATTGCCTTCGTGGATCCAAACGCGCTCACAAGGCGCACAATAAGAATAAGACCAATAGATACTTCATAAGAGACCATTTGAGCTGCAGATCGTAATGCTCCTAGAAAGGCATATTTCGAATATAGAGGAGTGAAAGTTCTCAACAATCAATGAAGTTGATCATACCCTTCTATGAACCGTACGAGCACGTCCTCTGTCACCCCCCATCGCGCTTACGGCTCTATACCCCAACCAACTTCTAAACGGGCATTTTCGGCCTGATCTTAGGTGAGAAAGGTCGGCTCGACTAGAAGGAGAGGAACGGACTCACCCTCCGTGGACGAACCTTGCGTAGTAACCTAGCTATTCGAGTCTGCTATATTAGTTCTACTACGTCACTACTGGCATCGGAACTACTGATTCGTTCCTTCATATACCTCCCCACCAATAAATAGAGACAAATGGGAATAACTGAACCTGACGTCTTTTGCCAAGCTGCCTACGTACCCTTTCTTATGTTAAGGGATCAAGTCGCGCGTAGTTCTCTTCTCTATCATTTCATAAATTAGCCTGTGCCCTATCCCTTATGTAAAGGGGGCAATCAATCCGCCCTCCCTTTTTATTTTGGGCTTGGGCTGCGTGAAGGAGACCTTGCCTCATCGAGGTCGGCGCTCGTGCGTTTGGATGATCACTTGTACCCAGGAATTAAGCAAAGTAAGGCAGGACTGTCGGTCTCTTTGCTGTTTGTATCGTTCATCCAAAACTTGGTGGAAGTGGGCAATTTGATTAGCCCTCTGGTCATCCTTTGCTTTATTGATCTCCACTTCGTTTTCGTCAGCCTGCAATTCCCGATTCATATGTTCGATCCTTTCGCGACGACGGTTTGGATCTTCCTCGCTTTGAAGGTTATTGATCTCCTCAAGAACTCTATCCAGATGCTCCGCCAATTGGCTATTCCGAGCCCTTAAAGAGTCGGAACTTTCTATCTGTTCGTGCAGTTCCGAGGGGGAGGGTAGACCATTCAGATCGATCGTGTTACCATCGATATCCGTAGGAAGGTTTATGTCGGGGAGGACAGAACAAGGTACCAGTTCCAACAACTCCAAGAGTTTAAGAAAAAAGTGAACCCAGAAAAATTGGATAATAAACAAAGAAAAAAGGAAGCACGAAAGAGTCCCCCAGCGAGGAATGAAAGACCGCTCTTGTACGAGTAAAGGATATGGATCCAACAACCAACGCCTCTTTTCTTCTTCTTGCTCTCCTACTAATAGATAACGTCAGGCTTATGTCCCCTTCGTACCATTGTTCTCCTTGATCGTGGAGCTGAATTCGGTTTTTTCGGTGTTCTCGTTGAAACACGCGGGCATACTCCTTGCTTCTGGGGACATTGATCCAAAGCTCGAGTACAGTCCGTGCGCCGTTTTTCTTCTCTACCACGACGAATCAATTGATTTAATGTAGGCATCGCTCTTTCCTTTGTCCTTCCCCCCTATTTTTGCCCTATCACTAGTGATTACTCCCGATCCAATACTATTTTACCTCTTCTTTTGCCCTTAGGACTATGTTGAGTAGTTCCTTCTGTTATTAGTAGAAGCTAAGATCTCTTTATATAAGAAATGAAATCCCTCACATCCGATTCAAAGCAACTGCTTGGGGGCAGGCTTGCTCTCCTTCTTCCTACCTCCACAGCTACTGGTGTCATCGCCCTGCAAAGAGTGGTAACCAAGCAAGATGTATGTCGTCCAACCCAACCTCAAACTCTTTCTTCCCGACCTATTTTACTCTCTGGCCGCAGTTATTTAGGTGGTATCCTGAGATTGAAGAGATCGAATTACTCCCCGGAACACACGAAAGAAAGATATGAACTAGGTAAATAGAAATTGAAAAGGGATGTTTCCAATTCATCAAAATCAGAAGCTTTTGCTACATCCATATGATCCACTAAAGTAGATCGGTATTGCCCATATAATGAAAGCAGATCTTGGTCCATGGAGTCCCAAGAAGGTAAGAACTCCAACCTGTCCGATGCTTCTTCGGCCAAATACAATATACAAGTGGGACCTGCACTATGAGCAAGTTGTGCGAAAAACCGTTTCTTTTTTTCGGTTCCGAAACAACTTGGGCGAAATGGAGTTCTACCGGGAAACCATGAATTTTTTATTTTTTTCCATTGTTTACTGGTCGAGCCACTGGAATGGAATGAGATAAAAATCTCTGGAGATCTTTCCTCTCCACTGACTCGATACAGGCTTTCCCTCTGTAGAAGACTTCTTCCGAATGGCATAATTGTCCGATTTCTTCCTCGATCTTCAAAGAAGACTGACTCCTCCTTCTCCTTTAGATTTCTTCGTCGTTAGTCCTTCTTTGACTAATGATCTCACCACTAACCTCTACTAAGCAATCTAAAGTTCTTATCCATACGTGGGATAGACTCGATTCCTCGCATCCTTGATGCTGGAAAAAGTGCTATCAGAGCCCGTTTACCAAGGAGACCAAGCAATCGAATGTGAGGCCTACGGACTGTGAGCAATATACGGAAATTGAGACTTGAATCTTCTTTCTTCTTCTTTACCAGACCGAAGCATTAAGGAAGAAATATGCTTTCAAATAAAAGCCTTGGTTTCGGGCTGAATACGGAAACTATTTTAGATAATAGGTTAGTCACCATTCCTTGCCCTAGACTTCCCCCTCACTCTGCTTGGTTAGTCTATCTGTCGTGCTGTCGCTCTGTTCTCAGTAGGAGAAGACTTGAAACCAGATACGTTCGTTCGGTCATTTAGCACGAACTTAACTGCCCTAGCGAGAGAGGCCCTCACCTTCGTTAACATCCGACGCCCCAAGATCACTAAAATACAAAGAATAGATATCCCATATCCTCCTATGCAATGGGGAGAAAACTTGCCTTTGACTCATGGTCCTATCGAACTATCCAAAACCACATCTACCTTACGTACTAGACTCCCCCTTCCTCATTTGAAGGGGAATGGCTAGCATAAATGACAGAGATAGAAGAAAGAGCTTTGAAATACTTTTTCAGTAAGTCGCCCATACTTACATCCTTTCCACCTATTCTTTATTTTGCGCCAGCTCGTTACCTTGCTTCCACTGCCGTCTCGATAAGTAGGCGTTTATTTGTGGTGAGGAGACCACTCCCCTGCTTAGGGAGAATAGCAAATGCTACATATTACAGAATAGTGGTAGATAGATATAGGGCTAGTCAATATAGTCTTCGTGGTATCATAGAGAAACTACTTCTATTTAAGTATCCAGAGAGACTCCAAGATATTACCGTCAAAATCTCTGATCGAATCAATTTATTACAAAAACGATACGATCCTTTTTCTAGCTTCCTAGATAAGGTTAAGAATGACCTCTTGTTTAAAGCCGACGGCGAGATAAGCATAATAGGTGGTGTTAAAACTGAACAAACTCTCCCACATGGGATAGTAAGAAAAAACTTTGCTAGCCCTCTTTCAGATAGCACACCCGGATGCCTAACATCTTCCTTCTAGTTGACAACCCAGGGCTTAAAAGCTCCTTCTTTACTTTAGCCCATCAGCCGGATCCTAGCTACCCTTCTGTAACCAAGAAGCCTTCTCTCGTTGACAACCCTGATGCTACACATGTGTCATATATACGCGTGTAACATGTTCATATGTTCATTCACATGTTACATCAGTGGTAGCTTGAACAAACAACAATTTATCCCTTCTCTAATAGCACGTCTCATTCATGTTCAAAGCAGCTTCATGTAACAAGCTTCATGCTCAATCAGTAGCAAGTTGACTTCATCCCCGGAGACCGGTCCAGTAGAGGACCCTTTGGGCGGAAACTACTCTGTTATCTTGCATTCCTCATTCGCATTAGAGTTTTAATATAAGCAAGCTTTCTTATTCGAAAAAGAGCTATAGAAGTTCTGTCGGTGTTCTCTCATCTCTTAATTAAGATATTTCGAAATCGAGAATCGTGAGACTCGCCCAACCTATACAAGGGGCTTTCATCGGTATTTTGTTTAGGGATAAACCCTACTAAGGAAAGGATGAGCTATAGCTACCCCTAACCCTTAGCCGGCTCGGCTGTTCGAAAGACTAACAAGTGGAGGAGGGAGTTCCAAAGCAACTGTGACTCATGCAGTAGACAAAGTAATTTCGACTCAAAGATAAAGGAAATCCCATTGAGTAGTTCCCTATTTTTGAAAAAAAAATGAAAGAAAAAAGGCTTCTTTTGTCAGTTAGGTTAGGTGCTTTGAGTCTTTGGGCAGGTAAGGAAACCCATTAGCAAGGCTACGAACCTTCTCAATATCCTGAATAGGAAGGGGGGACTTGAACCCTCAACCTCAGCCTGAAAGCACTATGGCACTCCTTTCATCTTTGGATCCACCAATGAGCGCATCCCACAACTCATTTCAACTAAGATCATTGCACCTACTTCTCTCATTCTTGACCAGGCGGTCCTATTGCCAAGCGTAGTAAACGAGAAGATAAAGCATGATCCCATGTCTTTCTTTTCCACTTTATGAAGTCTTCCGACTTAATTATAGTCCTCGGGAATCTGCAACAAGGAGGTTTTTAGAGACCCCAATTCCCTCTCTGAGACATGCAAGCGTTAGTTTTCACTTCCCTGATAAATGAGGAGAATCACTCTTCCCATCAAATGTGAAAAGGAATAAAGCTTCCTGTTCCACCTTACCCTAAGGGCGTCTCACTCTCACTATACAAGGTACACACAGTTCAGTGGAGTATAAACAAAGGAGATGAGCATGCATAGCTATTTTGCAGGAACCCTTCCCTAGAAAATTTGATTCGTCGATAATGAACCTAAACACTGTTGAAGTATTGGGGCTATGGAACCTACCCCCATATTGGAGGTTCGCCCCTATCCCGGAACCGAAGGGCGAAGGGAGAAGGTAAAGTGAGTGAGTGCATCACGGGTGTGATGCATGAACGGAAGGAGCGAGAGTGAGTGCAAGAAGGATGGGGAGAGGGGGAAGGGAAGGAGATGAGAACCTCCAGCTCCCTAGGGTTCTTCTTGCTAGCCCTTCTTTTGCTCCAGCTATGGTATCAAAGAAGGTTGCATCACTATTCTTCTTCTACCTCACGTCTTTCTATATGCTAACCCACCCTTTGCCTTCTCCCTTAGAAAACTCATTTCCCAGATGAACGTCGTTTGCAATAGAAGAAGAGAAAGATAAGTTGTGGCAATTTTATTTTGACGGAGCTCTGAATGCCCAATTAGGCAGGGATGGGGATAGAATATCCCAATAAGGAGTAATAAAGGATCCCCAAAGCTTTTAGGTTGAGGTTCTCTGCTACCAACAACATAGCAGAGTATGAAGCTATGCATGCTAGATTCTCTTATTGGAATCGGAGATTCAGAGTTGGTAATTAAGCAAATCGTCAGATGAATATCAAACTGGCGGATGTAAAGCTTTTACCCTACTAAGAGATAGTGAGTTTAATGTGTAAACTGTAAACAATTCGAGGACTCGACGGGAAGATAATGAACTTGCGGATGCGATGGCGCCCTCGATGTTTGAGATTCCAGATGGAGATTATTTTCATACAATTACGTTTGAACAAATGGACCAACCGGCTTGTATGTGCTATTGAAGATGCAGCAGTATCAGACGACCTTCCTTGGTTTACTTATTTCAAGAATTATAAGTTGCATAGACCCCCGCAATCCTAGCATCTGCGATGACAATATCATCACCGAGTACTGCGTATTTCTTAAAGTACTCACCAGGATCTACTTGTTCAGTCGCATACCAAACAAAAATATGGTGTGATAAAGAGAAGAGAGGCCATGACGAATAGTATCCAAGTAGTTGACCTGCCTACCTGATAAATTCCTCCATTTGACAAAAGGAACCTAAAATATGGTGCAAGCTAAGGTAGCACATCACTTCGAACAGAAAAAAGGCCACCTATCGGTTGTCGACTTTAGATCGAAGGAATATCCTACTCGTTCGCCACTACACTAAGTCGATCAAGGGGTTTAGTTTGATTGAAGGTTCCATCACAAAGTAACCTTTTCAAAACAATTTATTGAAGCAAGAAGAACTATCGAGAATAGCGCCTTTGTTTTAGGCATAGAAGTGAAACTGGAATGAGACCATCCGGGTTAAGCGCGATTGAAGTAAGAAAGTAAAGCTTTTGCCAGAGGATGAGTCTTTCAAGTATCGGTAGCATTCTCTTTTTTTCAAAGTCTAGTACTCTAGGGACTCTCTTCAAGTGGAGTAAACAAAATGAACCCACTCCGAGTCTTGCCAAGGAAGATTCAGATAAAGGTTGAGAAGTTGGCTCTCAACAAGCAACGGATTGAGCTTTAGAAAGCATTAATTGTCTAAAATAGTAAAGGCATTAGACTAATTAATGGCAGCCCTTTGATTGCTGCATCCGTTTTCTTGCTTTGTAAAAATTTATAAAAAGATGCTAGCAGCTGCTATGTTCCTTCAAAAAGTGC